TTCGTCTCTTTTCAAACTTTATAAATCCTCTGACCTCTCATGCTAATGCTAACTTTAGCTCAGGAGTTTTTACTCTGACATTAAACCAACATACACGACAACTTATTAGACCTTAATGTGTGACATCATGAACAACAGCAGTTTAATAATGATATGAAAACAACACCTACCTGAAATATGTGGATTTATGAAAGTATAAAACGGGATTATTAGCTCGTGGTGCTTCGCTGTGTTTTGCTCACTTATGTCGACTACCTGGGCAGACCAAGCTAGCAGCTAGCAGCTCTGTGATTGGTCGGCAGCTGTGACGGACATAGTTGCATTCAAGGTGTGTGGGAAACCCCAGGATCCCGGCAGTGACGAGAACAAGGAGCTAGTTATCATAGCAAATGTATCCTGGAAAACAAGCTCATACTCAATACATCCAAAACAAAAAGCACAAATCATTCTCTAAGGCACGAGCCAGAGATGAAACTCTTAATAACACAACTACTGAGAAAGTTAAAGAAACTAAACTAATGTGAACCACCCCGGACAACAATCATTGAACTGATGTCGATAAAATGAGGAGGTCAATCACTGTAGAAAGGTGATGCAGATTATACTGTACTTAGCTTTCCTCTCGCTCCTGAACTCATATATTAATTATTCCATAAGTATTATCACCTTTTCTTGTTTTTTTAATGCAGCATTAGGTGTTTCAGACCAAACCGTTCTGGGACTTTTTGAAGAGGAACTATCCACATAGAGAGTTCCCTCAGAACTACACACCATGGGGACTTTTTGGGGTCTGTATTCGCACCACCATGGTACCCAGAAAAGTTCCTCTAATCGGGGTTGTAGGATCTAAAATAGGTCTTAGTTCCTCTGGTGCAGAATTAATGAAAACGGAGGAGGGTTCCAACGGTTCCTAGAACTATGATAAAGTTCCTGCGTTCCGAATACGCGATTATCGATTAACAAAAAGGCTTTAAAATGTTGAATTGAAATGATTGCAAATAAATATAAATACCAAACTGACCAGAAACCCACATTCCAAAAATATATTTAACAATTTGAAATTATTAAAAACTAAAAAAATTAGAAATAGATTTTTTTAAATTAATTTTTAATTTTTAATAAAATTAAATTAAAAATTGAAGATTAAAAAATAAAAATAAAAATACAAAATGAGCCTAAATTACATTTTATTCATTAATTTTTTAGTGAGACTCTTATCAATGCAAAACTCTGTCAGTAATTTAGAGAGTCTAAAGGAACTTCTTTCTGAGACTGACCAAACTGCTACAGAATTCAACTTCAAAAAAATCTACATTTGTGAATATAGAATTAACCCATAATAAAATAATTCAACCTCTGTGTTCTGCTAAAGTAAGTACAATTAAAACATGTAATACACCTGTAATATGAGATGACTGTGCCCTTCATGTGATCAGACAGGTCAAAATAATAATGAATTCAAGTTAAATTGGGTATTTCTGTCACAAAGAGATGCTGCTGTGTCTACAGGATGACAAAGGTGCTGCTGCTGACAGCAAGCAAGACTGGAACGCATGGCTTGTTGGTTAAACGCTGTGATTGGCTGACGCTCATGTCCGTCAGAATTCTCCTCGTTGTGATTGGCTGCTGTGCGTGTTCGTCAACCCGCCGCGGCGCTGATGTTGTTGTGTTGAAGGCGGGCTCACAGTGAGCAGCAGAGAGGAGCGGCTCGGTGCGGAGTGACACGGCGTTATCTTTTACATGATTAAAACACTAAACAAAGAGGAATACTCACTCGGATCCACAGAAACACCTCTGAAACATCCAGTCCGTCATGGAGTCTTATGACATTTTAGCTAACCAGCCGGTGGTGATCGATAATGTAAGTATGATGATGTCATTCATCCACACCCTAAGCCGAGGCCGCTAACTGTTAGCTCGCTGAACTCTTGTGTTATAACGGTAGTTAGTGATAAACATGTCTAAAACCTTCAGTTTGCTTTTCTTACTGCACATTAAACTTACAAACATCTCTCCAGCAGCTAACATCTCTCCAGCAGCTAACATCTCTCCAGCAGCTAACATCTCTCCAGCAGCTAACATCTCTCCAGCGCTAGCTAAAGCTGCAGCTAGCTTTCAGCACTAACCGGCTAGCTTAGCTCCAAACTGTCAGCTAGCTTATTATGACAGATCAGACCGTGTCCATAATGCTAACCAGCTAACCAGCTAACCAGCTGACCAGCTGACCAGCTAACCAGCTGACGTACAGAAGTGTTAGCTTCCAGCAGCATGTGAGAGACCTGGAGCTGTCTGTGTTTCCAGATGTATTGTTAGCATAAACAGGGTTAGCATGTTGGTCACAGGACACACACACACACACACACACACACACACACACACACACACACACACACACACACACACACACACACACACACACACACACACACACACAGATGGTAGAGGCCGCTGAGTAAAGAGTCCATCAGTATTAACTCATCCATTCACACACTGATGGTAGAGGCCGCTGAGTAAAGAGTCCATCAGTATTAACTCATCCATTCATACACTGATGGTAGAGGCTGCTGAGTAAAGAGTCCATCAGTATTAACTCATCCATTCACACACTGATGGTAGAGGCTGCTGAGTAAAGAGTCCATCAGTATTAACTCATCCATTCATACACTGATGGTAGAGGCTGCTGATTAAAGAGTCCATTAGTATTAACTCATCCATTCATACACTGATGGTAGAGGCTGCTGATTAAAGAGTCCATTAGTATTAACTCATCCATTCACACACTGATGGTAGAGGCTGCTGAGTAAAGAGTCCATTAGTATTAACTCATCCATTCACACACTGATGGTAGAGGCTGCTGAGTAAAGAGTCCATCAGTATTAACTCATCCATTCATACACTGATGGTAGAGGCTGCTGAGTAAAGAGTCCATCAGTATTAACTCATCCATTCACACACTGATGGTAGAGGCTGCTGAGTAAAGAGTCCATCAGTATTAACTCATCCATTCATACACTGATGGTAGAGGCTGCTGATTAAAGAGTCCATTAGTATTAACTCATCCATTCATACACTGATGGTAGAGGCTGCTGAGTAAAGAGTCCATCAGTATTAACTCATCCATTCATACACTGATGGTAGAGGCTGCTGATTAAAGAGTCCATTAGTATTAACTCATCCATTCACACACTGATGGTAGAGGCTGCTGAGTAAAGAGTCTGTCAGTATTAACTCATCCATTCACACACTGATGGTAGAGGCTGCTGAGTAAAGAGTCTGTCAGTATTAACTCATCCATTCACACACTGATGGTAGAGGCTGCTGAGTAAAGAGTCTGTCAGTATTAACTCATCCATTCACACACTGATGGTAGAGGCTGCTGAGTAAAGAGTCCATCAGTATTAACTCATCCATTCAGACACTGATGGTAGAGGCTGCTGATTAAAGAGTCCATTAGTATTAACTCATCCATTCATACACTGATGGTAGAGGCTGCTGAGTAAAGAGTCCATCAGTATTAACTCATCCATTCATACACTGATGGTAGAGGCTGCTGATTAAAGAGTCCATTAGTATTAACTCATCCATTCACACACTGATGGTAGAGGCTGCTGATTAAAGAGTCCATTAGTATTAACTCATCCATTCACACACTGATGGTAGAGGCTGCTGAGTAAAGAGTCCGTCAGTATTAACTCATCCATTCACACACTGATGGTAGAGGCTGCTGAGTAAAGAGTCTGTCAGTATTAACTCATCCATTCACACACTGATGGTAGAGGCTGCTGAGTAAAGAGTCTGTCAGTATTAACTCATCCATTCACACACTGATGGTAGAGGCTGCTGAGTAAAGAGTCTGTCAGTATTAACTCATCCATTCACACACTGATGGTAGAGGCTGCTGAGTAAAGAGTCTGTCAGTATTAACTCATCCATTCACACACATTCATACGCTGATGGTAGAGGCTGCTGAGTAAAGAGTCCATCAGTATTAACTCATCCATTCACACACTGATGGTAGAGGCTGCTGAGTAAAGAGTCCATCAGTATTAACTCATCCATTCACACACTGATGGTAGAGGCTGCTGAGTAAAGAGTCCATCAGTATTAACTCATCCATTCACACACTGATGGTAGAGGCTGCTGAGTAGAGAGTCCATCAGTATTAACTCATCCATTCACACACTGATGGTAGAGGCTGCTGAGTAAAGAGTCCATCAGTATTAACTCATCCATTCACACACTGATGGTAGAGGCTGCTGAGTAGAGAGTCTGTCAGTATTAACTCATCCATTCACACACTGATGGTAGAGGCTGCTGAGTAGAGAGTCTGTCAGTATTAACTCATCCATTCACACACTGATGGTAGAGGCTGCTGAGTAGAGAGTCTGTCAGTATTAACTCATCCATTCACACACATTCACATTGTTTGAATTCCTGTGAATACAATGCTAACTTCCTGTTAGTGCTAACAATACATGACACGATACCACAGCAACAGAAATAGAAATCCTATGCTCCTACAATTGCAGGCAAAGTCCTGCACACTGACTAAATTGCACAAATACCCATGTCTTTACCCATGGTTCTCAACTGGTGGTTCGAGACCCACGAGTGGGGCCGCAAAGTGGTCTTCAGTGGGCCACAGATTGTGTTCCAGGGGAAATTGCTGCCAAAAGTCTTAGCTGTGCTTTATTATGAAGAACATGTGCAGTAGGGTTGTTAACTCATACTCAGTAGGAGGAAGTGATGCACGTTAATGCTGGTCATCTGCCATTAAACAACAAGAGAAGAAGAATGCAAACTATAAAGTTTATGCTGCCAGTTACGTGGTGTAATGTTAACATGACACAGAAAACGTGCTTTCTTACATCGAGGACAAAAAAGGACCAACAGAAATCTGAGTGCGCCGCGGTGATGTCATCAAAACTGAATCGCGTTAGAAACGAAACACGCCGCTCATAAAGACGTCTGTTGTTCTGTCAGGTTTTCTCACGTTAACACGCTGTGATAGTTTGTTACTTCTCTCCAAACTGAAAACATTTTTCCAATAAATGGATTTTAATGGTTGAAAAATTCAGAAATGTTGGTGGCGATTTGGCGATTCCGGTGTCGCTGTGTCTCCTGAGGCGAGAGCAGTTCAGAACCACTGGTGTAAAATTGCACAGATATGTTGGCAACATTTCTTCTTTGTAGAATTTCAGACCGTGTGCAGGAGTTTGCCTGCAATCTTAAATAATTAAGAACAAGAAATTACCAAATATTGGGTTGACTTCTATTAGTGTTGCTGTGGTAACGCACAGGTTTCAAACATGCTTTTTACTAAAATCTTATTGAACTTGAAAGATTCTGGTATGATGACTAATCTCCTGTTATTAACACTCTGCACCATAATCACATCTTACCTGAATAACATATGAAACTGTGTTTGTTTGGTTATTTATTAAAATGTTATGAAGGCAGAGAATCTGATGGCCTCAGACCGGCTCCTCCTCAGTACCCATTTCCTCGTCTTCCATCAATGAATGATCGAATGGACGTAGCAGAGACTTTAGCACAGCACCTACTGTTCTAACTTCATGTTCTCCTCACAAGTCATGACAGTGCAGGACAAAGTGGCTTTTGAGATGGGGGGGATGTGGGGTCACAGGGTGTGACTGCTGGTGGCCTCCGGCTGTGTCTTATGACCTCCTCTCTGCTCACAGATGAAGATACTCAGTCTCTCTGATGTTACATGTTCTATCTGTCTTCTTGTGAAAAATATGTGCTCAATAAGAGCTGTAGAAAGTGGAGACAAGAAAACATATTTATGTTTTCATTTCATTGTACAGTGTTCCCTTTGTTATTTTTTGTATTATATCTTTGCTTTAATACAGTGTATAACTTCTGTACAGTTTAATTTACTTAGTTGTTACTACAACTTATTTTTAAATTTCATTTGTACTTTTCTACTCTTTTTTTCTTATAATGCTATTCTATTTTATATATATATATATTTTTTTTAAAGATTTATTTTGGGCTTTTCGTGCCTTTAATGCAGAGAGAGGACAGTGGACAGAGTCAGAAACCAGAGAGAGAGAGAGGACAGTGGACAGAGTCAGAAACCAGAGAGAGAGAGGACAGTGGATAGAGTCTGAAACTAGAGAGAGAGAGGACAGTGGATAGAGTCTGAAACCAGAGAGAGAGAGGACAGTGGACAGAGTCAGAAACTAGAGAGAGAGAGGACAGTGGATAGAGTCTGAAACCAGAGAGAGAGAGGACAGTGGATAGAGTCTGAAACCAGAGAGAGAGAGGACAGTGGATAGAGTCTGAAACCAGAGAGAGAGAGAGGACAGTGGACAGAGTCAGAAACCAGAGAGAGAGAGGACAGTGGATAGAGTCTGAAACCAGAGAGAGAGAGAGGACAGTGGATAGAGTCTGAAACCAGAGAGAGAGAGGACAGTGGATAGAGTCTGAAACCAGAGAGAGAGAGGACAGAGGATAGAGTCTGAAACCAGAGAGAGAGAGAGACAGTGGATAGAGTCAGAAACCAGAGAGAGAGAGAGGACAGTGGACAGAGTCAGAAACTAGAGAGAGAGAGGACAGTGGATAGAGTCTGAAACCAGAGAGAGAGAGGACAGTGGATAGAGTCTGAAACCAGAGAGAGAGAGGACAGTGGACAGAGTCAGAAACCAGAGAGAGAGAGAGAGGACAGTGGATAGAGTCTGAAACCAGAGAGAGAGAGGACAGTGGACAGAGTCAGAAACCAGAGAGAGAGAGGACAGTGGATAGAGTCAGAAACCAGGGAGAGAGAGGACAGTGGATAGAGTCTGAAACCAGAGAGAGAGAGGACAGTGGACAGAGTCAGAAACCAGAGAGAGAGAGAGAGGACAGTGGATAGAGTCTGAAACCAGAGAGAGAGAGGACAGTGGACAGAGTCAGAAACCAGAGAGAGAGAGAGAGGACAGTGGATAGAGTCAGAAACCAGAGAGAGAGAGGACAGTGGATAGAGTCTGAAACCAGAGAGAGAGAGGACAGTGGATAGAGTCAGAAACCAGAGAGAGAGAGGACAGTGGATAGAGTCTGAAACCAGAGAGAGAGAGGACAGTGGATAGAGTCAGAAACCAGGGAGAGAGAGAGGACAGTGGATAGAGTCAGAGAGAGAGCGGGGAATGACATGTGGAAAGGGGCCACGTGTGGAAGCGAACCCGGGCCTACCGCTCAAGACGAGAGTCTCAATACATGGGACGTGCACCCTAACCACTGCGCCACCACTGCGCCCCTATATTATATATAATTTGAACTTTTTGTAGAAGCTGACTCAGGGAGAAACGCACAAAAAGTCCAATGTACCTGTACTGTCCTGTACCTGTGCAGATGGCAATAAACATCTATTCTATTCTTCTCCAGGGCTCGGGGGTTATCAAGGCTGGCTTTGCAGGAGACCAGATCCCCAAATACTGCTTCCCTAACTAGTAAGTGTTTGTCCTCCTTCAGCACTCCGATCACCGGGAAACATTTCTACATCCACAGATCTTCTGCTTATCTGATCCAGATTCTCTTTATCAGCACGATAAACTTTAGTTTAGCAGCAGGAGCTCACAGAATATCAACGATGAAATCAAAAGCTCATACACAAATGGTCAGCAGGTTAAGGAGGTAGTTTGGTTTGCTGAGGGTAGCTAACATTAGCGGTGCTAACAGCCTTCAGTCCTCGCTGGAGGTTAACGTGCTGGTTTATCCTGACAGCCTACAAACTACTTCATCTTTGTTTTATAGATCTAAATACTGACAAACCGCTCGGCTCCTACGAGATGCTATCTGCTCACTGTTCACTTGTTTACATCAGGGTAGCAGAGCGAGAAGAGCAGGGCATAGAGTCTGTGGCTACAGCCCCGACTAGTGGAGGGAGGCTGCGTTACAGTTTAAGTACAACATGTGATCGACATCGTATTTCAACTTATTTATGATCTGCTTAACTGGCTCGTAGTTTTGTTGCTGAGTAGTCGACTAAACGCACACATCCATAAATATAACGGACCAGAAACTTGAGATAATTACAAATTGAAAATTGTCAAACATTTCTCAAACATGAATAATCAGCACTTATTTAAAACAGGAACTGGATGAAGCAAACTTTTCAAATATTTATTTTGTGTGTTTTATTGACTTTTGTGTGTGTGTGTGTGTGTGTGTGTGTCTCTGTGTGTGTGTGTGGTGTGACAGTGTGGGGCGTCCCAAGCATGTGCGTGTGATGGCAGGAGCCCTGGAGGGAGACCTCTTCATCGGACCCAAGGCAGAGGTAACACACACACACACATGTAAAGTTTGAGATAATCTCATAGAAGAGTTCCTATTGGATCAAACTTTGATGATATCGTTTCCTCTGGTTCGGCACGGTTTTCTCTGCTGCTGCTCGACACAGTTTTCTATTTTTTTTGGGCAAACATGAAAGTTAAAACAACCTGTAAGTCACTGTAGCCCAAGAAGCCAATGACATCAACTAGGAAGCTTTAGCTCCACTTTCTAATCACATTATTCTTCTCGTCTTTGAGAATAGCTCTGTGTTAGCGAGCCCTTAGAGCTCCTCCAGTGATCTCCTTCCTGTATTGGACTGAATCAGTTTTATTGCCATACTTAAAGATCAGCAGAGCTCAATACAACATTTATAAAAACATCCTCTTGCAATGTCACTTCTGTTCCTGGCTTTTTTTTTCATGGCTGTTGCTCTGGCAAAATCTCTGATTTTTTTCTTCAGATAGATTCAAATAGAAATTAGCAGAGCAGCAGTTGCTGCCTTCCTAGCTTGAAGGCTAAGACGCTCTGCACTCTACACAGAGGGTGTGTTTGAATTGTCCCTCCTATCTCCTTCACTATCCACTTCACCTTAACCCCGGGAAAACGTCATGAGGTCAAGGAAAGATGTTAGGAGAAGTCATAAAGGACTTAGGGAAAGGCACTTTGCTCTGACAATCCGACCACATTTCCACTAGGCCACGTCATTAAATGTGACGGGCCGGCGGAGGTTAATGACGTGGGTCTGCCGTGTTGAAACTACAATGTTCAGATAATGAACTACAAAAAGATCATCTAAAAAAACTCTTTCTGTGCTTCTTTACCGGTGAAATAATCCTGATCACCACGAGGAGTGAAATAAAAGAAATATAGACTACCAGACTACAAGTAAAAAAGTGAAACCATCAGCTTCCTGTCCAATCAGAAATCAACATCAACATCAATATGATTGGATGAAATGAATTGTTACATTAAATGTAAGATATAACCTACACATAATGTTTTAAACAAAAATGTACAGCAGCACAAACAAGAAATGAAATCTGTTGAATCAAACATCCTCTGATAAAAATGTCTCTATCTTTTATCTCTTTACGATCATCGTTCATGTTCCTGAACGGTCGGATGAGCGACTCGCTTTAAATTTGTGGGCGTCATATCTCATCTCCTTTACTAAAGATGGTCCAGTGTATCCTAAAGGGGTTATAAAGGAAGCATTGACCCACCTTTCCTTAACTTTTA